ATGAGGATGATACTGTTATTGGCAATGCAGTCATTAAACATATGCCACACCAATGATATTCACTCCAACTTGCAAAATTACTCTCTCTTTTAGTTAGAACTTTGAAAAGAAAATAATATAGCTTTTACATTCTTGAACTTATTGTTTATAAACTTGTTCTATTCTTAACCCAGTGTGAATGAGGTGAGAAATTGTTACACCAGCTACGAGGTGGGTAGGAGATACCCAAAACTTTGATACCGAATTTTTTATACTATAATTGTGTATTAAGTATTTTTTTACTTGGAATAATAATAACAGTATCTATTCAACAAGATAAGTAAATAAAATATTGTTTAAGATTGAAAAGCATTCTTTTTAATTGAAATAACAAAGTGTCTATATTTTCTTTGAAAAAGTACAAGTTTTGATAGTTTAACATTTTTCCATATAAAATTCTAACAAAATTACAACTTCTTTGGTTAATCAACATAACTATAGTATCTTTCAATTATAAAAATAGAAAAAAAACTAAAAGGTCTTATGAGATCAATTTGCACAGCACCAACATTACACCTACAAATCAGCACAATCTCCACACATAAAAATCGCATGCTTCATACATATTGGCTTCTCACACTTCAAACAGCAATGTTTTGTTTTCCTACCAGTTTTTTTAGTGCAGTCACCACATCTGACATATTTACCAGCCACTTTTTTGGAAGCAGGTAATGAAGGTTCTCCCAGATGATCAGTAATCACTTTTCGAGTTTCCCTTGGAAGATGTATGTTTTGTTGTCTAATGCAAAGACTATCATTTGAGAAATCTAGAAATAAATCTAAGAATACTATAAATAACTGTAACTCATAAACTTACTGTCAACTCAAAAATGTAACACCGACTATGAGGTCGGGTGTGATGTACCTCAGCCACCTTTGCTCATGTGTATCTCCCTTTGACACTGGCAAAACACTAAATTCAACACTTCACCTCGCCTCGCCCCCCCACTCCCTTACCTCCAGCTACTGTGAAAACGGGATTTGCATGGCAACAATAACATTAAATAATCTGCGTTTAAAATCTTCTTGGGTATGACATACCCGACCTCACTCATACCAGGTTAAAGTAGAAGGTGTGGTTACTGTATGTTCAAATTCTGTGTAACATCCTTGTAATCAAAAAATGATCCTATATAAATATTTAAATTTTTTCAAAGCTATATCTATGTGTTAAATCATATGCCTCTGTGTCCTTATCATATAGTTTAGTACTTAAAATGTCTACTAAGACTTGTTATACGGTGACCTGGTTCTGCAAAATTAAGAAAACTGATCAGAAAAAAAGTCTTTATTTTTCACCTGTACACATTTTACACAATATTATTGTGTTTTGAACCTGTTGGTCCCTCATCAGCAGGTTTACAGCAAATGATGTCTAAAACAAAATTTTAGACATTGTTTGCTGATGAGGGACCAAAAGGTCCGAAACACAATAATATTGTGTAAAATGTGTACAGGTGAAAAATAAAGACTATTTTTTTCTGATCAGTTTTCTTAATTTTGCAGAACCAGGTCACCGGTATAATACAATGGCATAGCGAGGGGGGTGCAAGGGGGTGTATCATGCACTGGGCACCACTGGCAGAGGGGTGCCCAAATGGTCTCCAAGACAAACTGTATGTGTTTCTGGAGGGGGGTCACCAATAAAGTGTCGTGCCCTGGCCGCCAGTTATGTTCATTACACCACTGGTATAATAGTCCTATTAATTAATAAAATAATTCCTAGTAGACATTTTAAGTACTAAACTGTATCTATGTGATTTATAGATTTTCCTTGATCGTTTTTCCAACTGTTAATTTGAACCTCACTGAAAGCTGATAATCATTAACTCTACTGTTCATATTTCAAAGAAACCAATTTAAAAAAAAAAAAAACAGTATGAATGATTAGAAGAGAGTTAAATAAACTTTAATGTTAATCCTGTAGTTCTAAATCTTTTTCAAAGAAAATCATTGCTTGAAAATGTCATTCTCCAGGTTCAATAACATAACAGGGAAAATTATTGACTTTTGAAATAATGTTAAAAATAATGATAAATCTTTGGACAGTAACATTCATATAACAGAACTGTAAATGGAATTATAATTTCATTTTTAATTGTTTTTAAATTTTATACAAAATGGCAATGCAAAAACTAATTTTATTTGACAGTATTAATTTTTAAACTTTTAAGTTTATTCATTGTAATTGCATATTTTATCTATTTAGTTTAAATGGTCTTCTTAAAAACATATTAAAAAAAAAAAAACTACACTAATACAATTATAAAGCATTTTCTAATTTTTTTAGAATGAATTAACAATTATTATATTGTACAAATATAGTACAGGTATACCTCAATTTACGTCGTTTCGAGTTACGTCGTTCCCGATTATACGTCATTTGTCAAAAAAGTATATGGATAAATAAAAATCAAGTTTAAGTCATTTTATTCAACTTTACGTCAGTCTGCCACAAATATTGAAACCGTAATATCACTAGAAAAACATTTAAAGCACATAAAATCGTATTAAAATATATACATTTACAAGTATAGTATGTGCTGTATTTACATTACCTGCATTCATAAATTTAGATTACTTTCTTCTGTACTATATTAAAAACTAAAATTTATTTGTCTGTAAGCTTAAAATAGATCCTTATTAATCATATATTATTTAAAATGCATTAATAAATAAAATACAGAACTGAGAATGGTAATTTATGGTTTAGCCTAGTGACGAGTAGATTTGGAGACAAGTAAATTCGACTTGTCATTTTTCGACTTAAGTCGCCTCTCCTGGAACCAATTACCAACGTAAGGCGAGGTATACCTGTATTTACATGGTCTATTAGATATGTCATAACATTATAAAGTTTAAAATACACAAAAATCAAATCAGGCTAATTAAACATTCTGTCTGTCTTCTTTCCTTCAGGAAAGATTTCAGCATTTATAATTCATTTTCTTAAAAAATATTTACCAGCTTTTAGTTTTTAATGATTTTTCCTTTTATCATCATTTCTTTCCTAGTAAAAATTTAATGTTTTAAGTTATAAAAGATCAATTTTTTTTAAAAAAAACATTACGTTATATTAGATTGCAGTTTATAAAACTGCAATACAACATAAAACTGTAAAATTGTAGAAACATTTAAAAACTTTTTAAAGAAAAGTTTATGGAAAATTTTATAAATTAAAACTTTCGGTTTTGAAAGATATATGATGTTCAAATATATTATCATCAATATATATTGTAACGGAAGTTGAAATAACCACACTTGAATTTTAAAATATAATGTATACAAAGAATATAAAAATATTAAAATAATGCTTAAATATGATTTCTAAACATTGAATAACTTTTAATAATCTAGCAATATGCATCAGTTTATTTATTTATTAAAATAATATAAAATTAACAACAAGCCTTAATGAATGAGTTTAAATATTTATCTGCTTTGTTATTATTACATTTATAATCTTTTCCAAAATAAGAATGGAGCCATGTTTATTTGTTATATATACAAAGGAAAATTGTTTAGTATTCATTATGAAGTAGAACATGTATTAGAAAAGTATATGTTTAAACTGTTATAATCTATTTGAAATTTCTCAAAATTTTTGCAAAAAAATCTATGATTATAAAAAAAACAAACAAAAAGATCATGACATTATGTTTAAATTTTCAGTTTCTATTCTGTTCCATTCTATTCAATTTTGATATAGCTTCATTACTTAGTTACAGTGATTGTAGCAGGTTGGCTCCATTCTTATTCTGGGAAATACTATAGTGTAAATGTTTTTACTTCTTATAAATACACTATACTTTTAACTGCCTACAAAAGATAATGATTAATTGATTAATAGTGAAAATGAGTGAATCCTGTCTGCAATATGATAACGTTAAGACAATTTTTAGATAGATAGTTCAAATAGAAAATAGATTTTAATAAATATCACTGTAAATATTTAACACATTATGTAGTATTTATTCTCTTTAATAAATTTTTATATAATTATCCGAAAATGGGAGAAACTAACAAACTCATCAATCAAAATAACTCTGAAACATTTGAATTTAATAAAAATTTAATTGAACCACTCTTAATTTCAAAAAAAAAAGAAAAAAAGACCCTGTAAAATATGTTAAATTCACTAAACCAAGATAAAATAACCCCATTCAACATTTTAATTAACACTTAAATGATATAAATTATCATCTTTATTTCTTTGCTAGTTAAAATTTAAGTATCTTTTTCAAATTATTCATCACCAATAATTCCAAAACCAATTTTTATTGGCTTCAAACTGGAAAACATATAATACTTCACATATGTTTATATATTATAACAGGAAAATTGAAAATAAAAAAAGAATTCTAATGTACCACAGTTGAATTTTTTATTTTTTTTATGAACTTTGGAACCTACAAAAATTTATTACTATATTAATCCAGAGATAAGTGAGAATCAGAGTCTAAAGAACTAACCAAAGGCCAGACAACACTAAAACATCATACAGTAACTATTTAGGAAAAATAAATGATCTGTTTCAGTATAATAAACAAAAAATTTCTTCTAAAATATTGAATTTCTGAAACAGAAAATTACAAAAATGATTTAACTCGTCACATTTTTAATTTTTACAGATTCTACAATTTCTATTTTTTTAAGATAAATTTTAAATTTTATTTTATATAAAATAAATAAAAATATAACAAAGACAATGTGATTGGAAATTAAATTATTCTTCTAAAAAACAAAAACACAATTTTTAACAATTCTTTAAAAAATTTATAAATTTGATTCCATTTTCAAATTAGATACGTTTAAATAAAAATTAAATCGAGAGGAGGAAGACAGAAGAAAAAAAGAAAACAAACGACGAAATTGTTGTTACACCAAGTGAAACACGTGCTTAGTAAATGTATGTTAACCGTAAAATAATAAATCATTTAATTAATTTATATTTTTCATACCTGAAAAGCCTGTCCCGCCCCACTGTTTGAGTGTTGAACCTTAATATTACATCCATCATATTGGCCGGCATCGCGCTCTCTTCTCTATTCACTTATCGATTTTATATTTCCCAATGATAATTATACTAAAACGAATCGCATAAGTTTAATATTTATTACATCTATGTTTGTTATCCTTAGTTGTTTTGACTACGTTCATAGATGTGAAGCCTATTTTTTTTTTTTTTTTTTTTTTTTTTTTTTTTTTTTTTTTTTTTTTTTTTTTTTTTTTTTTTTTTTTTTTTTTTTTTTTTNCTGACAGCGCCATCTGATGAAGAATTTAGGTTTCATTTAATTCTTTTATTATTTTTTTTCCTTCGATTTTTACCCGAAAAATAAATATCGTCTGTTGTAATTTTTTAAATTTTATTATTATAATTATTCTTTTCTTTTTTTCGCCTCGAATTGGTTTATATAGTAAAATTTTCGTATACTCTATACGGAAAATATTTAGAATATGACGTATTGGAATGACGAAAAGTGATTTTAGTGAAGATTCATCGATCCGATATTATACGTGTACAGTACATTACGTATTGGGTTGGCTTGCATTGTTTTCGGTCCCAAATACAAGTCTTGAAAATTCAAAGAAATAAAACAGTCAGTTATTAATTTAGTGTGCCTTTCTTACGGAAAACGTGAGCGCGTTGACTGGTAAAATGGCTTTAATACAACTGGATAAACAAGTCAATGACATGGTTTGTTGAAATGAGCTATGTCAGTGGCTTGCCTATCCAGCTGTGTTAATATATTTGCTTTTAGCATAAAATACCGTAGTACAGTATATCTTTCATGAGTAAGCAGGTTCATTGGCAAAATTGTGTTGTTTCTTATAATTAAGTTAGTATGAACTTTCATTCCCTTCTGAAAATTTTAGTGCTAAAACCCTTGTTTATACTTTTGTTGTCATGCGAAACATTAGTTTGCAATGAATTAATTAACCTGTAACGGAAAACTAGTAACGTTTAAATGCCTCATAGTGAAACTGGCTAGCAATTATAAAGGATGGTAAATAATGTCATGACTTAAACTCCTTAAGAAATACCAAAAATTACATATCAGATTCGAACTTAAATTCTTTATAGCAGAGCCAATGGAGAAAAACCACTAACGTTGGTAGTTGGTCACTCGCGGGTTCATATCTGATCAATGGGCTAGCCATGTAGAATTTTTCGGTTCTTCACAGGTCTAATACTTAAAAAGGGCGGCCGGATGGCCAAGCGTCAAGGTGGCAACCTATCGCTCTGGGGAATCTGGAATCGAGTCCTCAGGAATTTTTCGAGGTGATCCGTCTGGATATGTCGTCTCCTATCCCTCACCACCCGGCCGCCCCATTGTGGGCCTGTCCGAACCCATAAAGGAATTGCTAAAAAGAGAACCTCTTACAAGTTAGTGCCCAGAGGCGGGAAGAGTTAAAAAACAATACTTAAAAAGGTACCAGTTTCCCATAGAATCTTCTCCCGTTAGGTACCGTTCCTTTAGCAGATCGCTCGTATGTCGCATTTGCGAGGCCGAGACCTTACCTATCGACGTGAGACGGGCCGTCGAATCAACATCAATAAACGTGTGACTTATTCTTGTAAACAGAACCGGAGACGCGAAGAAATGGGGTACTGTAAGATTTAATTGTCACATTCCCGGTCGTAGATCGCGAGGGAGAGTAAAGGAGTGATAGCAAGGAGAGTTCTGCAGTCACCCTACACCGAGTTCACAGCGAAAAAAGCGAACGCTTTTTCGGAGGGGTTGCGGCTAGGACTGTGCAGACATAGCTGCGTCCTCTCCGAAGCAGAAGAAAAAAAATTCGGTAATTTACGGAAATCGCTCGAGAAGGAGCGTGACCGTATCCTCGGGAGATCGGTCCGTACAGGGTGTTCGACAGCCCCAGAACCCAAATCGCGCCCTTAGCAACAGATCGGAGATCAAAGGAGATGCGGCAGACCACCAGTTCGGACCAACTAGAAATCGGGGTGTTGGGGTAAAATCGTATAAAAGCCCGGATTTACAAGGACACGGCGAGATTGTGGTCAAGATCATTCGCCCGTGGGTCCAGAGAAAAGGACAGTTCCGAGGGACAGACAGCTGAAGAATGACGATCTTCTTCAGTTGTCTGTCCGAACGACCTAAGAGAAAGAAACCTCCACCCGAGATCCACTTTCAACCATTGCCTACCAGGATGTTTTCGACCGTCACCGTTTACTTCTCGTCAAGGCAGCAACAGAACTCTCACTTTTCCTTTTTTGTGTGGCATCTGACGGAAAAGTTTCCGCTGTACATTGTGTAAGCATGTCTTATTATATTAAACGCGAGTATCATTGTCAATCAGTATCCATGTGAATTTCTGGATTCAGTTTCACTATCCCATACGTTCCTAAATTCTCGCGTCATCCTGACCGATCGCAAGAATATCCCTGTCTTTCACCGGAAGACAGACCATCGTCGGGTAGCGTCCTTAACATTGTTGTATCCTCCCAAATCAACCAATCATTTTTTAAAATTAATTATTATGAAATTCTACAAAAATTATGAGTGTATTAACTGGTGTCAGCCTATCGCTCTGGACTAGAGATTGACCCCTGAAAAAATATGACTCTGTCTTCAGCATTTGTTATGAACTAAAATAAAATAATATTTTATATAAAACAAACAAATTTATGTTACGACGAATTAAATCAACAATTTTGTTTCAAATATAAGATTATAAACGGATTTTTTTAAAACTTTCTGTCCAATGAGCACTAACGAGTTTTTTCAGGTGCATCGTGACTTCACTCAGGCTCACAATGGAGTGTTGAGAAATGAGACCCGGCATTTTCGAGACAGGTCATCCTGGGATATTTCGTTTCTGGGTTTCTCCCAGAACGGTTGGCTGATGCCTTAGCCGCCTCGGCTAAATAACATTAAAACTAACAATAGATATTATTCATTAAGACAAAATTAGAGAAATAACAAATATTATTAAAATAGCAGATTATTACTGTAGTGTCATTTACGGTTTTCGAGTGTAAAATTTGTCGTAACGAAAATTAGCGATTTCTGAAGTTTTTCTGTCAGCAGCATTACTGTGATGTCGTATGACGTTTCAAGTGCAATGCAGAATTTGAATCTTGGCTCGGTCCAAGGTCTTAGATAATCTAAGACCTTGGGCTCGGTCCAGAAATTTCGTGGATTTGGACTCTCCTATCACTACTCTAAATGTATTAAATGTAGATAGCGAGATGGCCGTGAATGCAGGTGTTAGCAGTAGTGTAGCGTAGGGGGGCGGCAAAATTTGACAATAAATAATAATATCTTGTAAGAATTTTAACCATTTTATTTCATATTTTCGTGCACCTACGATTCGGACCGATTCAAATGAACACGGAATAGTGGGAATAGTGTCACCATCCAATTCGCCGTCCGGGGATATCTTGAGCAACCTGTCGATCTTTTATTCTTTTTTCCTCCTTGTACGATTCATTCGTACTCATATACACCTCCAATATCCAATAGGGCTAAGTCATCTACATTACTTGCGTTACTCCTACCCAAGTCTCCCTAGTCACTAACTGTAACTGATTTAGAACCAGCATGCACTGCAAATTATTCTTCATTGCAAAATGATATACGCATGCGTCAGGAACTTCTGTTCGAACAAACCTCACCTGCCGTCAGGGTCGGCGATTTTAAAAAGGTGGCAACACTAGCACGGAATTTTTCGTTACTTATTCTGTGACGAAACTAAATTTTAGTCTTTTAAATTGAGATACCTAAATAAGGGGGCGGCGAAATTTTCCTCCGCCCCGGCGGTAGGCTAACACTCCACGCTACGCTACTGGGTGTTAGCCTACTGTTCTCAGGGATTCGGGTAGAAGCCAGGGAGGAAACCTCAAAACATTTTCTTGGACAGCATCCCAAATATATTAGATCTCATGGGTTTGATTGCAGCCAGGTAAGGAATGATAAAAAGCCCTGTTAGTGTACACAGAGGAAAAAGAGTTTAAAAAAAAAAAAACAACAGGAACTTCAAAGCAAAATTTTTATAACTGTTACTTCTATGGTAGTGTATAAAGGATAATGATGGACTCAAAAGTTAATTATGACTTTTTGTAAATAGTCTAAACTTCAAATTATGAAACAACAGGAACCTTGAATGTAACACTGTGTACAAGTAAATATAACACTAAATATAAATAAGATGATGAATATTTTTCATAAAGTTAATATCATCAAAAATCAATAATAATAAATTAATTGAAAAATTCTTAAAAGAAAAAAAAATAGACAAAGAAGTTTAAAAAGATGAACTCCGGAAACAATATGCGATCCACGGGCTCAAAGTTATACGTTATTTGGTATGTTATGAATTTAGCTATTTTCATGCTGATTTAATATATGCACACATCTACAGTATTATAATAGACTCGGTTGAACGGTTAAGGTGCGAAGGCTCAGCCTTCATCATGTGATCCCTTCATCCGATCACTAGCTGTGATCGAATTTGAATGGGCCGAAAAAGCAGAGCCGGCCCTACCATAGGGTGAACGGAGCAGCCGCTCCAGGCGCTAAGTCCTAGGGGGCGCCCCCTAGGACTTAGCGCCTGGAGCGGCTGCTCCGTTCACCCTATTGTAAAGAAAATTAAAGGGTATAAATTAGGGGCAACCAAGGGGGCGCCATAATAGGATCTCGCTCCATCCTAAAACTTGCCTTGGGCCGGCACTGCGAAAAAGCCTAGGAATTTTTCGGGAGTAGACCGTCTGGATATATCAAGTTCATCCTTTATCATCCATCCATTGTGTCCTGCTCGAACCCATAATGGAATTGCTAAAAATGGCCTTTTTGGTGCCCACAAGGCCATTTTTACGGTTTAATTCTGTTACGGTATAGCGTTGTTATACTCTTTCCGCCCACAAGGCGGAAAGAGTATAATAACGCTATACCGTAACAAAAATTTTACATGCACAGTACATTATATGCAAATCAGCACTTTTTAAATAAATAGCGATCGACCAACGAACTAACAATTTTTAAGACTCGATTATATTTTTTCATATGAATATAATGGCTTTTGTAGCACAGATCGCATCTGAATTTTTTTTTATTAAAAAAGATCTATTTAAGTTAACGACATTAATTTATAAATTAAAATATTTTTTAATAATTAAATTTTTCTTAATTATCACTTTATAAAATTAATATATTGAAAAATTTGAAATTTGGCGATTTAATCGAAGGAAT